TTTTTCACTTATTTCTTCTTCTTTTTTTAATAGCTCTATTTATCAAACAAAAATCATATTGATATTTTCAAATGTTATACATCGCTTTATAATTTCTTTGTCAGACATAGCATAACTATAAACACATTCTAAGAGAATAGCTATAATTAGCATTTTAAGAAGAATAAACATTTTTCTTAGTTGTCTGCTTGAAGCACAGCACTCAGACAGTTTTGCCAATATATTCATGAGAAACACATACTAGTGATCTAAGTATTGTGGCAAATATTGCCTTGTCCCACAACTTACAGATCTATTCACAAGGTGAACTGTGTGGTCCTAAGAGCTGCCATATTTTGATTCTGTTACTCAAAAGAAAAATGTGAAACATGGTATATTCTAGCTAATCTTTACTTATCACCAGTGGCAGTGCTAGCCCAACCAACTCTTCATTCTTCCACCAGACCTCGCAGAGTGAGTACTGTCTTACTCCTCCTGAGGACTAGTCTCAGCCTAGGCAGGACACTTGGCCATTCTCACTAATGACTCTGTAGGATGGGTGGAACCAGCTCTGGCTGAACTACATTTTGGTTATCTCAGACTCATTTTGCATATGTCTGTTATTATGTCTGAACGAGAAGCACAAGTGGTTTTGAAATAATAAAGAAATGCTGATACAAGCATTTTATTAACCTCAGTTAAATTCTGCCCAAGTTCTTCTCCAGTTTTGGATACTTAGCTAGAAAGGAGTGTGCACAGAGGAGCCAAGGAGTATGCTCCACACACTACCAAATCCCACTACAGGCAGTTAAAACAGTATTATGATTTTATATGTCTTATTCCAACTTCATACATACAGATAAATTACACTGCCTTCAGTCTTGATCTTTGACAACTTTAGGGCTTACTTTATACCTCATTACTTACTTAAAGTCAGAATAATATTAGTATTTTGACACTTTTTAAATTACATGGATGTTCATGAAATGGTGAAAAATAGAGATAAATATGATAGTGATTTTGCAGATTTCTCTGAAGAAGACAACTGTAATGATGATTTTTTTTTTTCTCAAGCTTTAAGACATACTTTATTCAGACAAAATGCAATGGCCTCCAGTCCCTGTTGTTGGTGAGCATGAACTTCACAGTGTAAAGATTTCAGGAAGCAGCACTACATCTCAAATCAAACAGCCTGTCTCATTGCTTGATGGTGATTGTGGATAGTACATGACACTGCCTTTTCTTTATAACCAAGATTAGTGTTTTACAACACTACCAAGTTCTGCACTTCAGAACTGACATATAAATGGAGGCATCTGAACCATCACTGACGTTTGGCATTCCTCGTCTCATTTCTGGCAAAGCTGCCTCTCTGGCAGTGACATTCTTGGCCCAAATCTTTCTCAATGAAATCACTGGCAAATTTCCCAACACCTTGTATCAGAAGAGAATAGGGTCCCATGACCAGAAGATTCATGTGCATCTCTCATCATACTGTAAGCAGCAAATGTTCATGATTGCTATCTGTCAATACAAACTGAGGGACTGGTGACATCTGAGAGTGAGTTGATTATATTAACACTAAAAGGTATAAACAGAACTTATTTACAACACCAAAAAAAAGATAATGCCTTGCCTAGGGGAAATCATACAAGGTGAAATCTATTCCAACTACCTTAAAACATTCCTTCTCAGATTCACGCCATCTACTTAACAAATAAAATAAATAAATAAATAAATAAATAAATAAAACCACCAAACATGCCTTCTTGCTAATCAAAAAATAAAAACATGACATAAGCTATTGCTACAAGTATCGAAAAAAAATTTTTGTTTAGGCTATTTTTCATTAAAATTCACCTGCACAACTCATTTTCCTGAACATTCTTTGGAAAGAAAACAGCCCAAAAGAAAATTCTTAAAATATGTGTTCTACTTTTTGCATATTTTTTGGAAAGTGTTTTCTTTATTTCATTCTGGATAGGTCAATGTAATTCAGCGTGTGTAAAACCACAGTCCAGGAAAATTTTCACAGAATCTTAGAGCAGTAAAAAGTAAAACAGGAACACTGTTTTAGAATAAGTAGGTACCATTTCTAGTCTAGGACCTGTACTGAAGGTAGCTGCTTTCAAGCTTAGCAATGGAACAATTAATAAAGGAACCCATTAAGGTCTGATTGTTGCTGCTAAAAAGGAAGGTTGAATTTCAGTCCTTTGAAGTAACTGAGAATGATTCAGGCCTCATTACAGAGATATAATCTACATTCATACATTTATGTTAGTGATTCAAATCTATTGGGACAGATTGAATTCCGTTAAATAGTGCATCTTTCCTGTGGAACTTTTCTCAGGCTTTCTCAGGCTAACCTAAGAGGTGACCTGACAATACAAAGTAGTGGGGTATTTAGGGATTCAACTGTGCTATAAAAGAAAGGCTATACAGAAAGTAGAAAAAAGAATGAGATATAATCTAAAAAGCTATGTCAGCTTTTCATTTGGACTCTGTTTTGTAAATGCCCTCCCTGTCATCACACGGGATAGAAAAGGACTCTATGTGTTGTAGTAGTTTTAAGTACTGCACTGAATATTGCACCTGCCAAAAGAAGATTTAATATAAAACTCCAGATATGTGTGTTTTGTTCTTACCTGCAAGATCTTACAACCAACATACAGCCAATCACAAGCTAGAAATAGGTCTAAGAAGAATGCTTCTTGAGTAAATTCAAGGAAGTACCTACTTTTTTAACAAGTAAGGGTTAAATATATGTTTGACCCCCAAACTTCTCCTACCACCAGAGATCCTAAAATGCTGATTCATTGTATTTACTAGCATATGACAGAAAAAAATAGGAAAAAAAATAAAGATCTCTTCAAATGTATAATTTTAAGACATTATAGTGATTATTTACAATTTAAGCTGTTGGAATCAGAAATACTTCCATTTTAGAAATAATGTGTTGTAGCCTTTATGACCTAGATAGAAAGCAAACATTGACATTAGCTTTGTAGAACTATGTGTAAACTGTCAGATATTCACTGAAAAAGTAGGTTTTTGCTTTTCATTATTATTATTATTATCAATTGCCACAAAAGGAAAACCTAATCAGATTCACAAAAAATTTTCAGAAATGCTTTGCACTCAGTGCAAATACATGCAGAATAAACACTCTGAAGTATCGTAAACAACATCATAAAACATATGGATTATAACATTAAATGGTTTCATTTTTAAAGCTGTTTAAATATCACCCCCAGAAGTGGAACACATATATTTAGGAGCCAACTCTCTCCAGAATAAACACTGTAACTGGAGAAAATAATTTCTAATTTCTGTTGTGAAGTTAATAATATATTTAACATCCTAATTTAATGTATCAGCCTAATTTTAGAACTATTTGTTCTTTTTTGCATTTTCTGTTGTTTAATTTAAGATTTACTGCAAATGCCAAACATGATTGCATAGGTGGTTCTCCGTTACATTCCACTGATCTGTTTTATTAAACTGTCTCTATTTCAAGAAAGTTCTGGGTTTATGTATTGAACTACTTGCTCTGTTTCTGTACTGCTTCACTTCTCTGCTACTCCATTCTCTTAGTAAGTGTTTCACCTTCTTGCATTACAAAACAGTTATTTTACAATACTAAGTACTGAAACAAAATGTAATGTCTTGCATGCTGCCCATACCCCCGATCCCTTATCATGATGTTAAAAGATAGTGCATTGTATGGAAGATGCCTGTTAATTACTGGGAAATTTGACGGTTTGGTGATGGACTAGAAATATGAATCTGTCATAACATTCTGTATGTGAAATGAGAAATCCACTAGGAGAGTCAGAATCAAAGGAAAAACCAACAACATATACCCCTCTAAGATAATAATAGCTTGGAAAATTGCATTAAAATAGCCTTAAAAATGGAAAATTTGTTTTTTTCTGGCAAAGAAAACTGCATTAGGTTTTTGTTTTGTTTTGTTTTGTTTTGTTTTTAAAAAAAGACAGCAAAACATTCAGACCGATTTTATGGGGAAACCTTTGCAATCCCAATAAAGCCCCTTTTTCTTTGAAGTCAAACTCGTGATTCAGTAAATGACTCATGTTAGCAATTAGAAAATGGTCATTTAGGGCCCTGATTTCTTTTGAGACAAGGAGGGTGAGGGTGGGGAAAGAGACACAATAAATCTTGAGAGGCTTAAAAGGAAGAGCAGGCTAAAGTGTGAACTTTTTATTTCAGCAACGGAAGTGAGAAATCAGTGATTCATTAAAGAAGGGAGAAAGACCTCCATGGAAGCTGGCAAAGAAGAGGGAAAAGGAGCTAATTATGTCTCTTCCCTTTTTTACTCTCTTTGACCAGCATATAATCTGTTTTTCCAGGGTCTGCCTGTAGTATATACTTCTTTCCAAGCTCTCCACCCGACCCCTCCTCCAGCGAAGGGGGAGGGGGAAATTTAGCAGGCAACAAGCTCCAGGTGGCTTTCTCAAGCACTTCAATGCCAAAAAAATAAAATCCTCCGCTAGAAAACAAGTTTCTTTTTTTTTTTTTTTTTTTTTTTGGGGGGGGTGTGGGGGGTGGAGGGGAGGAGGTAAGGGAAGCGTCCCTAGAGGGGATTGGTTCAGCCTGGAAGACAGGGAAATTAGTAAAGCATGAGTCTCCAAGCCATGCTGGTGGCCGGCGCTCCGAGGAGAAGGCTTTAGGAGCAATTAGCAGCGAGCCGAAGGCGGCGGCTGCCGCGGCCGCTGCCGCCCGGGAGGAAGCGAGGGCAGCTCCCGCGGCTCCCTCCGCAGCAGGCGCCGCTCGCTCCAACTGCAAAAGGGTTTCAGATGTCCCACCGCTGCTTGACCCCCTGCAAATAAGGGTTGACCACCAGAGGCACATCCCACCTCTGACTTGTAATCGCTGACATTTAGGCTACAACTTCCAACCTGTTTACAACCAAAGGGGGAGGGAAAGGAAGGGAAGGGGGGGAAGTGGGGATTTCCCCCCCCCCCCCCCTTCTTTCTTTCTTTCTCTCCACTTTTTTTTTTTTTTTTTTTTTTTTAAATACTGTTCTGGAGAATTCAAAGCAAAACAAAGAAACTGCCTCCTTTGGGGTTGTCAGTGAGAAAGGACGAGTTGTGCAACTGTCTTGGGATTTGGAAAAAGACAAGGGGGTGGGAATCAGAAGAAGGTGCAAAGCCACAAAGTGTGAGTGCATGAGTGTGTGTGTGTGTGAAGGGGTATGTGTGAAAAATCCCCTCCGGCACCCCTCTCCTCTGGTTATTTATTTTTGTTGTTGTTGTTGTTGTTCACTTTGCTGTCATCTATTTTTCAGACCTTTCTGCATCTAAGATGGTGAAGAAAGGAGTGAGGAAGAGAACAAACTAACTACCGTGAAGTCTCGAACCAGGTTGGGGAGTGTGTGTGTATATGGGGGGTAGGGTGGGGAAAAGAAAAAGGAAAGAGAATTAACCACAGCAAACCCCCCCCAAAAAAAAAAAAAAAATCCCAAACCAACAGCTCTTTTTTCTGAGGGAGGACTCGAAGGATTAAAAGGGAGCAACTTCTGAGGCGATTTGTCCCCTGAGTTATGGATGTTGGTGCACTTACTTCAGGCCAGATCAGAGCTCAGAGGGATCTAACCAGAAGCAGCAACCACCGGCTCTCCACTTGCCTTTTACAAGGTTTTACCCTTCCAGTATGTTTCATTTGATAAGACATTTTCCAGCGCCCAGAGTTTCAGTACAATGTGCAAATGGATACTGACAAATGGTGCCTCAGCCTTTTCCCACCTGCCTTGTTGCTGCTTGCTGCTGCTCTTCTTGGTGTCTTCTGTGCCTGTCACCTGCCATGACCTCGGCCAGGACATGCTGTCCCCGGAGGCCACCAACTCTTCTTCATCATCCTCCTCCTTCCCCTCGTCCTTCTCCTCTCCTTCCAGTGCGGGGAGACACGTGCGGAGCTACAATCACCTCCAAGGAGACGTGCGCAAGAGGAAGCTCTACTCTTACAACAAGTACTTTCTCAAGATCGAGAAGAACGGCAAGGTCAGCGGCACCAAGAAGGAGAACTGCCCCTTCAGTAAGTACCGCTCGGCCGCCGCGCTGTCGGGCAGCGGCTGCCGCCGGCCCCGCCAGCCCCCTCGGCCCCGGCCCCCGCAGCCCCCGCAGCCCCCGGCCCTCGGGCTGGGGAGGGAAGGGGAAGGTGACGCCTCGGCGGGGAGTGGGGCGCGGGGCAGAGGTGGGGTGGGCTCCTCCGGGGCGCCGCTCCCCGTCGGCACCGTATCTGCGAATCTCTCCGCTTACATTTGTTTTGCAAATAGCTTCGCCGAGCACAGTTTGTTTCTTTGCCTGGCAGAAGAGCAAATTAGAAAGATTTGTAAGGATGTGGCGCGGAGTGTGTGTGTGTGTGTGTGTGTGTTGGGGGGTGGGTGGGAGGGGGGTATTGTCTCCCGAATCTGAAAATCATTATCCCCTGTCATTAAAGTGCCTTGACGAGGACGCTGTATTGAAACAATACACCGATTTCCCCCACGCACGCGCGCACACGCACACACAGACACGCTTATCCCCGAGCCGCGCAAGAACTGTCTGCTCCACTCTGCCTCCTCCCCGAGCTCGGAACAGGGGCTTTTTCTTTCAGGCCGGGATTTTGCCAGGGTTTGCGCTGCGCCGCGGAGGCGCCCGGCGGGTGCTGGGAGCCGGTGCGCGGCCGCGCAGCCGCCCGCGGTGCGGCGGTGCTGGTGCTGGTGCCGGGCGCGCCGCGCCGCTCCCGGGCTGCAGCGCCCCTATACCGCTACTCGCTCCATTGTAAACATCTGGGGCTGGGCTCGCACAGACCTCACACGCGTTTCATTGTCATTTTTTTTTTTTTTTAAAAAAAAAAAAAAAAAAAAAAGAAATTATTTCAAAGCAAAAGTCGTATGGCTGTTTCCATGGCTGAAGTTTAGAGCTTTTTTGTCCTACAAATTAGGCTTTTAGTAATAGTATGCTTCTGGCAATGTATTTTAGTCTGTCAGTGCTAGAAATATAACCTTTAGTTGGTTTTCCTGCCTGTGTAATCTCAAATTGAAGTAACTGTAATAAATCACAATATATTGCATTGTAACTCTTAAATGACTGCATCTCACTGTAGTAGCATGCTGAGAAAGTAAGCTCTGTTATGCAGCTTTTGGAGGAAACTCTCTGGCTTGCTTCACCAGTGGAGAACCACGCTTTGGTTCTTGGGTTGTTTCACATAAATCCAGATAAACCTAGGGATAAATCTTCTGTTAAATTAAAACAATTTAAAGTGACTTAAGTAGATCCCTTGTTAGATAATGTGTAAAGTATGGACTACTTTAACAGGCTGATGTGCTATATGATAGACATTACTGTTAATTCAGCTGTATTTCTATTAAATACTCATAACACAGGCTCATAAACAGGGAGGAGAGTCCTGCTGTATCATATGTCACTACTTCACTTGCTCCACCTTGCAACTTCATATTTTATCATGCACTTAATGTTTGTGAAAGCTTTAGATGTCAGAGCAGCTTAATCTTACCGCCTCCTTTTCTATATTTCATATAAAACCAAATTCTTGAAAAATATGGCTATGTTAAAGGTTTCAATTTGATGAATCTGTGTGGAATGAGGTCCTGGCACTGTATTTCTTAGATTCCTTTGTTTATGGAGGACAGCACCATTCCCCTAAAATGAGATTCTGAAAGCTTTGTGTGAATCACTGAGAACAACGAGACATTCTGTGTAGGACACTGCTGCTGAAAAGGCTATGAGGGGCCCAATTTGACAACAGTGTACTCGGAGAAGTAACAATTCACCTGAGCAGACCCACTTAACCAGCAGTACTGTTCAGTGAGTAAAGTTGCTGACATGCAGGAGCTTCTGCAAGATCTTGCCAAGAAGCAGTAGAAAACACTGAAATGCACATATACACCTTTCTTGCGCTTTTAGTGGACATGCAGAAACAACCCCATGCAACTGTAGGGTATGATTCTTTTTTCCTAGTTTTCCAATCAGTGCATCAGAAAGAGAATTGGCATTCTTGGTGATGGCATGGTTATTGTCACATCTGCAGAGTATCTACTGAAAGAGAGGAGAATGTAATTTGTTCCCTATAAAAACAAAACAATGCCTTTATTATACATAGCTGTATCCTGCCCCTCAAGTTTATGTGCAGTGAAGAAAGGACTCCCATCATCTTAAAACTTACAACTTGCTAACTGCACTTACATCACAAAGTCAGAAATAGTGTATATCATCTTCAAACACAAAACAGTTAGGTTCTTGTTAGGAAACGATAAATCAAACAGTTGTATGTCCTTCTTTAATAGTCATTATAATTTGCAGTGTGGAATTCTGTTTTTCTGTAAAAGTACATAGTCTGAGACCATTTAAGAATGTATTTATTATGCCTTTATTTCAAGGACGCCTATGTAGCAAAATGTTGCAAGTGATTTGCAAAATCTATGCTTTTCATAACCTCATGTGTAACTGTGCCATCATAATACTGCAGTAATCCCCAGCTGGACTGATTCCATGCAAATGTATCTTTAAGATAGTCTAAAATATGTAATTACATGTGAATAGATTTCTGCCATGGATGAAGGGTTAGCCAGTCAGCCCACTAGATTGTGGCCTGTTTAACATTAAAGGCTATTTAATCTCTAATATGATTTCCTCTTTCAAAACCATGCTTTCCTAAACAAATTATAGTGACTATTGACACACAAGACTTACAAACATTCTAATTTGGGGGCTAATTTTCTTCTTCTCATATGCTAATGTTTAAAACCCATTTATGCTGAAGTAAAGCCTTATCTGTATGGCTGTAAGATCATGATACGTTGTGTAATTAGACAACAGCTTTCATGGCTGGCAGCCAATTAAGCACTGTCAAGTAAGAACAGTTGGAGAAAGTCAGAATAAACATTCAGAAAACAGAATTTAGTCTCCAGCCTTTAAATGGCTCAAGCAGCATCCATAGATTTGTTCTATAAATATTGTGTAGAGTGTGGTAAATGAAAGTTTACTCTGGCAGATGTTTTCCAACTTGATTGTTTGGAACTATTCCACCAGCCTTTCTCTACCTATACAGTGAAGGGAACAGAGGTGGTTTCTAACTGCTCTGTCAGGAGGCTGGGAAAACTTGTAGCATTTGGCATAGCTGGAGGGTGTCTGTCACTAGACAGAAGTGGGATACTTTCTAGGTTTTGTTTTGTCATTCCTTACATCTGCAAGCTTCTCCTCAAAATGCAAGTACTAGCTAACCCCACAGCACCACAGCTGTGAAGTATCTTGCCCCTGTTCTTGGTAGAGCCCTTTACACGCATGAATAAGGAGAGCTGTACTGCTTTCTGGTGACTTAAGTACTTGTTGGGGGGGAGGGGGGGGGGGGGGGGGGAACAACACCCAAAACAAAAACAAACAAACAAAACAAAACAAAACAAAAAAAAGAAACCTCCAAAGAGCAATTACAGAAGCTTTCACTGTAACTTGATCTGGGGTGACCAAGAGAAGCTTAAGCCATTTATTCAAACTGGGAGAGAACTGCATGTGTGAAGATTCTGACTTCACTTGCACCCAGAAAACTTTCTTGAAGATTGTGGCACTCTGGTTTTACTGGATGGCATGCATTAGGCTACATGATAAGCTTGTTCAGGAAAACTTCAACGTATTTTTGAGTGTTATACTATTTTCGATTGACTTTTAAGGCAGCTGGTAATAGTGCTATGAAGCACATGGACTTCAAGTTTACAGGACAGATCTTAGTAGCTGTAGAATGGTAACTCGGTATGCAATGCTTAATTAGCAGCAGCCAACCTGCAGCCTGTGGAGGAAGTCCTGCCTGAGCGAGGATTACAGGATCAGGTCGTTATTTAGGTATGTATTTAGGGAGTGGGGTCTCTGTCAATGAGCCTGGACGTTATTGGGAAGAATCGCTGGAGCGATTCCTGCGGCGTTTGAACCAAGCAGTGCTCTGCAGAACCTACGGTAGATGGCGGCACCGACACTGCCTGGTGTCACCTCCGCTCGGGCTGGGCGGACAAGGAGGGGCTGGATCCTCAGCTGTATGGGCTCACCTAGCCCAAGCAAAGCTAAAAGGGTTTACACCAGCTGAGGTTCTATTAATTGGCCTTCCGAGCTTCCAAAGTGGGTTAATCCAAACAGTGAAAGGTACTGCAATTGCACAGTAAGGGTTTACAGGGGTAGCTGGCATAAAACAATTAGGTACTTCCCATTAACTAACCTATTCCAGGCTTTTCCCCTGAGTATACAATCATTTTTTATACATAGGACCTGCTGAAGTCCCTGATAGTTTCTTGTTTTGCTTTCGTTAGTGTGGGATCAGATTAGCAACATAGTGACTAATAGCAAGAAAGTTCTGAGACTCATTCTGTAGCCCAAAAGCTTGTAAACAACCACTCCAATTATTAGAAATGCTCAGCATTAATACTGAGGTTTTTAAGTGTGTGCATATATACATGACACATATATACAAATTTGTGGTATATATGGTGTTATATACATAAAAATAGCATTAAATGTGTCTTGATTAAGTATATTCAGTTTGATATTCAGGTTTTGGTTTTGTTTGTTTGTTTGTTTGTTTGTTTTTATTATAACTCAGGTGCAATAAAATCAAAAAGTTTGAAAGGTATTTAAAACTCAGCTGCAAAACTCAAACCAGATTAGAACATTTGGTAAAACCTATTATTTTGCCACTGAGCATTTTTAAAGCTAGCTGTTTGGGGTTATTGACTTCTCATGAGCTGGTGTTTGTAAATTAATGTGCAAACTTTTCTCTGTTTTTCTGAAAACTGACTAGTAGAAATATGTGTTTTGTTATCTTACTCTCCTTAGACATCTGGTTATTTTTTTTATCAATCAAAATACTTAAGATATGAAATAATACTGTTTTAGTGAAGTAATTTGAAACTTACACATTTCATATTAAAGAACCTGAGTTCTGATGGAGATAATATCCCACTCTGTCTTTTGTTTCTTTGTTTTCCCCTTTTTTTACTTCTGCAAAACTCAGTTACATAATATAACCAGCAGTATTCAACCATAGACACC